ACTAGAAACTTTTGCTTGGGGTGAAAGTCGAGCCCATCGCCTACTCCGCGTGAAAAAGAAATGAAAAAGAAAGATATATTGCAGCGGGACTTGCCGAGACCAGCAGCCACAACCTCATCTCATTTCCAGATGAGCATGACGTTTTTTATCTAGGATGTATGAGCAACCAGCCGCTCGATTTCTGGCGCGCTACATTCAAGGCGAAAATACAATCCGGCTGGCTCGCGGCCTACCCTGTCTAGAATCCTCACTGGCCTCGCGTTAAATTCGCGCTGGTTGAATCTTGTTCAAGAAAACGACTGATTATTTGACTCGGAATTTGTTGGTCGACGCGTGGGCTGCGGGCATATATCTCACATTGATTTTTCCCAAATGGGCACACTTATCTCGTCGACTTGCGTACCTTGACTGTCAAGCGACGTACATAGAACGACTCGTGGCATTACAATCTGGATCTTGTCTGAAGTAATCACCCCACGATACTCGTACAAGTTGCACCACCAAAAGCCAATCCCAGATACCTGAATCGTGCAAGAATCTCGACCGAAGCAATGTTTTTAACAGACTTGTCGTCGCTTCGTTACATACATTCCAGATCACTCATCGTGCACCTTACTGAATAAACGTCTGTCACGACAGAAACGGGCCATACTCACTCTCCTACCTGGATTCACTCTTTGGATGACCAGCGATGTCATTTCAAAGGTGGATATGAAAAACAATCAGACCGCACGGGGTACAAAATCTATCTCCATCCTCCTTGGATCTGATCTAGTGCATTAAGGGGGAATCGAACCCCCGGCGGGTCGATAGAAATATGCATGCAATATGCTAATGGCAACGACCCAGGTTACCACTACCCCATTAATGCGCTAATGGTTTTTCCATTGGCGGTCTTGATATCATAAGACTACTTGAAGCAAATGATCAACGGCTTGATTTTCGTATTGAAATCCATGCAATTACTACCAACATGCCCTCATCAACACAAAAGACGACCGATGCGTCCAGCTTCTTCCTGAGAATAGTAGAAAGCACAGTATGATAAGGCCCAGTTGTCCCTCTTGCGTCTATTTGTGTCCCACTCCTGCTAGTCGTCAATCTTGACTTCCTTGCTTCCTCACATACAGTTCGTGTTGCTTTGGCGCCTCCTAAATGCCCTCGCATAGAGATCCTTGGTGGCGGATAAACTTTGTGGAAAAGAGGGGCGAGCAGTGATGGTGACACACTGTGAGAATGAGAGTTTAGGATTCTGTAATTGGAACGGAAGGTGCCTGTATCAAATACACAAGTACAATTGGTTTGGATGGCATCAAGTATAAGCTCGGGGTGCGAAGGTTATCATCAAAACTGAATACACAGACGTCATAGGTGGATGGCAACAAAGAGTGTCAGGGATGATCTTGGCGCCTGCACAGTTTCGGGTCTTTGTTGATTGTGCTAAAACTGTAAAAGTACAAAAGAAGACGATTAGCTCATTTGCAATTGAAAGAAGCTTCCCATTGTCACTGTGTATGTTGGCCACGTATCCGTACGTGAGGTGATTTATGTTCCGCTTCATAACGGCAATATGAACAAAACATTCATTCGGTCAACCTTGTCCGAAGAATTCAGAAGTATTGGTTGATCAAGCTG